GGACGATGTGTGTGAGGGTGGACATGTTTGGAGGTTGCTGTGTTGAAGCTCCATGGATCAGCCTCTCTGCAGCTCTCAGCTCCTTCACTGAGCCTTGAGGGAATCACTGAGCTGCTCTTGTTCTTCACAGTTAGAAGGTGGGAGCTCTCGTCAAATGATGATCTCCAGCATCATCTTGTTCATGCCAGGCTTTTCATCCACTGACCACAGACACCTGGAAACATCAGGGGGACCAGTAGCTGTTTAACACATCTGGAAGGAAACCAGTGAGATTTTAATATGACCATGACCAGTATGATATGATATGTGGGGGAGTGGGGGTGCAGAGGTTAGAAGATGGGCCTGTGATTGGAAAGTCGCAGGTTCAACTCCCAGTACGTCAACATCAAAATGTGGAAAAGGTGAAACACCCACACCTGCCTCCACCCTCATTTGCCCCACTCTGGGCCCCTGAGCAAGGCCCTTAACCCCCCTCCCCCCCCATCTGCTCCCTAAACAGGTCTCTCTTGAAAATGAGTTCTCGTGACTCAATGAGACTACCTGGATAAATAAAGGGTAATTCACTTTGGTCTTTGCTCTACTCAGACTAGCCATTAGCTCATCAGTAAAACAATGTGTTCATTTGCTGGGAAAAAAAACCAACAACTTGGCACCCAAACTCAAAATCCAATATGGCTGACTGAAACGTGATAATTAGTAGCAGACTTTGTTGGACTGTAGCTCATTATATGAAGAGATATGTGCCCACAGAGATTTTCTTGTATCGCTAACAGAATTAGCCTAACACTGTTTGTTTGTTTTGATGAGCAACTAAATGTTAATTCAGGTATGACAAAGTTTCCGAGATGGTAAAAATAATTCAAGCAAATTTATTCAAATTGAGCTCAATCAAAATATCTACAGGTGAGACGTTAATGACTAATAATGTTCCACAGAACCCCACTTACTTTAAAGAATGAAGCTAACACTTAAAGGGGCAGCTGTGGCTGAGTGGTCTGAGCAGTTGTCTTCCAATGCGAAAGTCGGGGGTTCAATTCCACCTGCCGAAGTGTCCCTGGGCAAGGCACCAAACTTCTCATTGTCTCCGATGTGTGTCCCATCGGTGCATGAATGTGGTGAAGCTCTGATTATTCTTTGTAGAGTGCTGTATGAACGGGTCAATGAGGGCACAGATTGTAGTGTAAAGTGCTTTGATAAAATAGAAAGATGGTGTATAAGTACAGTCCATGTACCAGTTTGAAGTGGCACAAATCAAACTGGTCTGTTACACTTGCTCTCTCCCTCCCTGAGAGACACAATATATGAAGCTGTCAGATCAAATCTCGTGGAGTTCAAGTACAGCGTTTGATCTTTGCCATTGTGCGCATGAAAGAAAACACCCAGACAGCCACAACAGGACGAATGAATAATATTTTATGACTGAATGGGGGGGGATTTTTGCACTTCTGCTGCGCACCATGAGATAACAGGCCTTGACATGTTGCATTAAAGAAAGAAAAAGCAAAACACAGCTGTTTTAGTCAGGACTTTATTTTGGTGATGCGAAAACAAACTGCTTTAATTAGTTCCCTGAGATTTTCAGAAAGCCCCATTCTGTGAGTGGGGTGGGGGCGACTTCTCACCTTGGAGCTCCTCGTCGGGCCTGTGCAGCTTCCCTACAGAGATATGGGATTTATGACGGTGTCTTGCTGACAAATAGTGTGTTTAAGTGTGTGTGACTGTTTCCACGTCTCTGTCAGGGGGTGAGATGAATTTCTGGACTTCTAGTTCGGGGCTAATTTATCAACTTTTGTGGTTGGTTGGTGGCGCAGGCTGCTCTGAAGCAGATGTGAATGGCTGTGAGAGCTCCTCGGAGTAGAATACACCATGATGGCCCTTCCAAAGCATGTAGCCCCCAGCCCTCCCTCTGTTTTTTTCTCACTGCTACTAATTATGCCACTATAAATCTTGTGGGTGTGTCACGGCTGCATTGAAGTCAGAGGAGGGACGGTAGCTTTCAGCTGGTGCGGGATATGAAAGGTGGTGGAGGTGATGAATGCCTTTGGGCCTCCTGCTTGATGAATTGGGCAGTGGGGTTGACGAGGAGTCACTGATGGTCAGGCTTTGTGCAAAAAGACATCAGGGTCCTCGCTGCTGCGGAGGATGAAAGGAGGATTCGTCTCAGCTGAGGGCTGGAAGGATTAAAGAAAGGACAGGAGGAGGCAAAGAAAGAGATCAAGCAAGTGAAACAGAAAATTAAAAAAACTGTCTTTGTCACTTTTGCCCACTTTCCACTAAAACCCATCTTGCTTTGGATTAAAACCCCCTAATGGTGGTAAATTTTGATTTCTCTGTTATTGTGGTAGCTATTAGACCTACATCTGTTACTGGTCAGTCATATTTTATAGATGACATGCCAGATTTATGGCTTCGAATAAAAAAAATAAGAAAAGAACGAGAACTGCGGGGTTAAAATGTTCCCAGATGTTGAGAACCTGCAGAGGATACAGAAATGAAGATAATGACCTCAAAGTGCGTAGCTGCAGCTTTTGAAGCAGCTCTCCCAGGAGTGACGGCGACCAAGTTCAAATTAAAATCCAAGTTGCACTTGCTTCGGAAACTCCGGGTTGCACAGACCTCACCTGTTGATTTGGGCTAGAAAGGTGAGCAGAGATTTTGCTCAGATTAAAAAAAAAATAATCTGTTGTGAAGTGTGAACCAGATGTTCATCTGTATTTTACAGTTGATGAAGAAACAAACAGCCCCCGTTTGCTTAAGGTACAGAAAAAGTTATGGGTCTAATAGGGATGGCTGAAGTCTTTTGAAATGGGGTTTTATTAAAAGGTTATGAACAATCAGTATCTTACCTGTTGTAGATAGATTTTTCAATGCCCTCAATTTGAAGAAAAAGGGTTTAATTTGGATCAGATTAATCAGCTAATTAGTCGGAGTGGGGCCAAAACCGAAGTCGATTGCTGTCATTTTAAAACAACTCTCGTCTCAATATTTTAAAACAGTATACAAATTTTAATTTTTACATTTTTTCACTATCAATTTTGCATTCTAATGTAATTTACACAGAAGCCTGGTTATTTAGCATTAGCAGCATCTAGTTGTAACACTATTAGTGCAGCAGGAGTATCATGATATGTTTTGCCAGAAAAACTGTGTAACGTGAAAAATAAATGGATGTAAAGGATAATAAATCAGTATTTACACGAACTGCTAAAGAAATATTTGACAGTGAGGGTGTTTTAAAATGGTAGTGATCCACTCTGATATTGCCCTGTTTGGACTAGATGTTATCTATTTATCAAAACGAATCTCTAAAAGATCTTAATTATTACTTTATGTGTAAAAGCTCTAATAGGAAATGCATCAAGTGAGGCCAAAGTTCATGCTCAATAATCCAGGTTAAAATCCAACAATGTTCAGTCAGATCATTTGGATGGTTGCTTTCTTTGCTGAGACGTTTCGTC